TTACCATAAAAAACGTTATGGACTTTATAGTAACCAACCTTAAATTATTCAAAACAAATTAAAAATAATGTCGTGTTTTTTTAAATCAAATTAGCCTTATTAATTACATATAACGATTCGAAAATAAAAATAATAAACTACTTAAACTAAGATGCAACGTCGCATCTTCAAGATTACTATAGAAAAATGCTTTCCCAGGACATATTTTCCCAAATTCCAAACCTATGAAATCAAGTTTCATTTCAAATTTTTCGTAAAAACCACAGTACATCCTACAATATTGGGAAAATTTAAATCCGATATTGGTGTGAAAGTTAGTTTTGAACTAATAAAAAAAACGTTAGTGGTAATAGTGAAACACTATTTATTCATTTCAAGGATTTCATTCGACATGGAAAATGAATTGTTTTCCAGTAAGCTGTTCGGTATTTAATAATAACCATTTAAAAAATTCAACTGTGTGAAAATTTATTAAGAAAATCATTCATCAATATTGGGAAAATAATGAAATAAAATTAATTATAAGAATTTTATGACGAACCTAGTTTGAAATGTTAATTGTTTAACATATTAATTTATCCATGGAATGATGCAATACATTGACTACACAAAATTAATAGAGGGATTTGTGGAATATACTTCTTTGTTATTAAAATTTGAAATTTAAAATTAAACCTGCCCCCAGTTATTCCTTTTACGGCAAAAACCCTTTAACATATTAAATATGGGGGGGGAGTACAAAAATATATTTAAAATGTTGCACGTACATTTTAGTCCATATAAAAAATTCCTTTAAGTGGGGTCTCGCTTGTGTTCATATTGGAAAACAAATGGTGTTCGCTTCTAATGAGGCTTTCGCGCGTAATTGGTTTACTGTTTGTCTTTAGTATTTTCCGGTGTGCCGTGATAGTCTGTGGTTTACTACTGAAACATCTCTTGTAATAAAATCAAGTCGTATAAACTCAAACAACTTTGAACAGTAAAGTATTGGTCGTAAAATAAGTCCGTAGCGTCTTTTGGTGGTAAATTCAATTAATATTTACGGTACTTTTAAACACATTTAATCAAATATACATGAACCATATGATTCACTGGCTGTTACCCGTGTAATTTGGTAATTCCCTCCTCCCAGATCTTCGCATTTCGAACGATGGGCAATCCTCACGTGAAGTGTTTTCCCATTTGTTTTGCTGAGCCCGAAAATGAAAATCTGAAAGGGAAGTGTTAGTCGAATGCGGGAGTACCGCATCCCAGGCAAGCTCCAAAAATTACTGGTGCTTTGGCAAAGATACTGGGTGGGGGGAGCGTTATCCTGGTAGAAAACTATCCTTTTGATGCCAGCACTGGTCGTTTTTGGTCAATTGCTTACTTTAATCTCTCCAATTGACCGCAGGACACAATACAATTAACGGTTTGGTTGGCAGGAAGAATATCATAATAACGCACCCCCTTTCCAATCATACCAAATAAACCTTCTTCATGGGATATAATCCGGCTTTTAGAGAGGTTAATGTGTGCTGCGTTTTTCTCAAGATTTTTCTCTCTAAACATTCTCGTTAAGGCTTCTCATCCCCAGTTATCAATCTTTTTAAAAATGGGTCGTTTACAAGGCTTCAGAAGGGAATCAAAGATCCAATAAATTCTTCTCAGTCGATATGTTAGAAAGCCATATATCGTTCCGACCAACCAATCCCAGCAGCTCTTAGATGCATTGAAACGATTGTATCAGATGTTAAGTGTCTCTGCGACATACCGTGTCGCTGAGTGAGGGTTATCTGAAACAAAGGTTGAGTTTGCTCATCAACGGCTAAAGGACGACCTGAGCGCTTTACGTCTTCCAAACCCAAATTTCCTCTTCCGAACCGAGCAAACCACCTACGGACGATGCTCCCTAACGCGTTATCAAATTATCACAAATTTTCCTAGCAGTCTGAGCTGCGGTTTTCCATTTGCGTTAATAAAAACTATTTTTGGCGGCAAAATAATATTTTTTCATTCATTTTAAAATAGCAAAATACCTTGTAAAATACGAGATCTCCAACAAAACTGATGAATATAAAAACACCTTGACTAATCCTTTTTTTCTGAGTGTGTAAACAAGAATGACTAAATAAACATTGCTAAAAATCGCGAGAGAGATAAAATCGAATTATGAAAAAACGCTATGGACTTATTTTAACTCAATATAAGCATAAAGTACACGAATAAAAATAATTGAATTGAATAAAATTTGAAACAATTTCTGTTATAAATTGTTACGTAAAACTTCATAATAATAAATATTAAGGCCATTAAACAATGGCCAACGATTGTTTTGAAAAGTTTTCCAGGATAGTTATACAACAAATTTGCACATACACGTTAGGATGTATACTGGTTAGATTATCTACAATCTAGTTCAGCCCTTATCTGAATGTATTTTAAGTAGGTTCCATCGGTTTTGTCCCAATTACAGCTCTAACCGGCCACGCTATATTCCACTGAATTATCGCTATCTTCTTTTATGACCAAAACAAGGTACAAATATCAAATTCTACTAATATTGTGTAACGTTCAATACGTTGTGTCTTTGTGTGTTTTCAAGGCAAAACTTAGGTATTTCCTAAGTGTTTTCGAGGATCCGATTAAGAGGAGGCCTCCAAGCCCCGGGCATGTTTACACTGTTAGTATAGAAAGCTCGTAATCCTTAGAAATAACTTTTCTTTAGCTCGTAGCGAACCTAATCCCTCCGGATATTGTATTATGTTTTATTATATGGCGAAATTTCCCAAAGCTGAAAAAGAAACATTTTCGCGAGTCTCAAATTAGCCGATAGTAGTTAGCAAGGGGGAGATCAAAAGAAAATGGACTAACCCACCCCATTTTCCGTTTCAGGAAATTATCTGCACTAATTACTGACTGTTCAATTCCATTTAGAGTGATCCTCTTTCTCGTGTCCGCTCCTCCTCTCATTTATAAAAATCGGTTGGTGAATGAATACACGGCTTGTAATTAAACCGTATTTGTTCAACTTGTTATATCTTTGGAGATTTTCTTTTGTATTAAATGAAATCTGCTTTTCATCTATTGACTTCCCTCACTCATATGTGCTACACCTGCCCTCGTTCCCAGGAAAGCAGAAGATGGAGTGGATTCGGCTCGAAAGTCCTTATCTTCAGGATTAAATCCAAATAACTTATTTAAAACATAGGTAGTCAATACGAACGTTTTAACTCAATTTTATAAATTGTGTTTCCTCCTTTGATAATATATTTGAAAATTACTAAGAGCGAACTGTGTCTAATCTGGAGAAATAGTGAGGCCTTTTAAGCTTTACAAAAATAAACAATTGTAGTTTAAACATAAACACTATAAAGCTGATGATCTTATGTATCCTGCCCTGATGATCAAACATGATCTTAAGTAAAAGAAAATTACATTTGCTTTTAAATGTCAATTTTTTTAGTTTTTGTCAATTTTAATTTGTGATTTGTTGTTCTGGGCTATTATGCATGGATTTTTTAAGATGTCCTGTTTTTAAGGTTTTCCCCTTTTTGTTTAAATAAAAACAGATTTCAGCTACAAAATGAATTAAGGCCTAATAAAAATGTATTGAAAAATAGATATCTTTTCCAAAAGACCTGCTTGAATTGTAAACTACTAATTACGGTAAAAATACTAGTCCTTTTTTAAACATGTATTCTTCTTTAAAAACGGACAATGGATGTAAATGCGAACCGGATTTACGTAACGACATAATTGTTACAATTAGTCCGCATGACCGCATAACGTATGTCATAGCTTTGGTTCACCGGTATATATTTGAAGCGACGGAAAATTACCTCCGGAATTTTGATCCGAGGGTGTACGACTTCGAAGTTGCGAAGACCGCATGGCAACTTGTAATTAACTTAATGCAAGTCCTCGATTATAGGGATATAATTAAGGTAATTAAACAAGTTACACTAACCCCAACTTATTTGAAACCTGTTCGAAATATTTTCACGTGGACCACGGTTTTTTTTTTTTCTTGTTGTCGTAGCACGAATATTCCCCTAGGAAAGTAATATCATAGAATCAAATATTTTTCATATTGGTTCATTTTTTTATTTTTCGGTTTGACTCTTATTTGCCTGGTATTATATTTGAATACTAGAAAATTTCAGGGTCCAATAGATATTTTTTTAATATTTTATCCCGTTTTTTTTAATTTTACACGATTTTTTTACAACTTCTCTCATATTAATTTAAGAAATAAAATGAGGAACATTTTAAAAGCTTATTCGTTCGTTTCCGTATTAACGTCGTAGCCGATTCGTTCAAGCAATATGACACTGAATGGAAAAATCAATTATTTCTACACTGGCATTTCTCTGTACAGTTTGGAGTATTTTGGAATAAGAAAGACCGGGAAAGGTACGAGTTCAGGGTGAAATGGAAAGATTATACGTAAAAGTCGCCGCGACGGGTCTCTTATTTCTCCCGTTGTGGACCTAATGACGAAAACGTCCTTTATCGCGGGTATTTTTACAGGAGAGCGTGGCATTTTTCAAAAATACTAACCTATTAATAATTCATTGAATACCATTGCGCCGATTACAACATAGAAAAATACAACTGAGATCAAGATTGTGAATTCCACGAAATATACCGATAACAGAATCCAATAATAAATACTGAATATAACATAACTAATATCAATCATGCCGCAAGAAAATAATTTCTTAATCAGGTTTCTTAAGCACATAAATAATAAAATCGGGCGCTGAAATTACAACTGCCGACTTGGTTATGAGTTAACTTACATAACACCATGAATTTTTCCCCGCATCACTCCTTCACTTTTCCTTTTCTGGTTAACTCATTAGAATACTAAATATTAAAATTACAATGGGGCCCGACTTGCTCTTGTTTAAAAATTTAAAAAATTAATCTGCCTCAAATATAACCTTCTGAGAGACAATTTTTATTATAACAAAAATTAAACAATTCCATAAAATTATTAGTAAGAAAAGGCTCACCTGAACAAAAGGAATCCTAAGCCCATGACAGCAGCTCTCCTAACATCGTCATTAACATCAGAAACCTGTGAAAAATCAAGTCTTATTGAAACATTTTATTATTAAATGATACAGGAATAGAAAAGATTTAATTAAATGTAATACAATCTTCAGCTTAATGAAACTCTACGTAGAGAAATAATTAAATCAATTATAATGTTAAGGTTAATTTTGAAATTCTTTTTAAGTTAGAACATAGTTTGATCTACAACGAAGCGGTAGTGCCATTTAATCGACTCTTTCCAATAATAGGCATTCGGTTACCAACTCGATTGAATTAAATCACCTATCAATATTAACGCACAGATACAACGGTATTATTGATGGATACAACGGGATGACAACATGACAAACGTTGAAGGGCCGACCACGAGTACGTGTAGGATGTTAAAGGCTAAAAATTAATGAATTCCTACCATCTGTTATTTGAATAGCCAACGTAAGTTAGTGTTTCCACCTTGATTTAACTGATAAAGGAGATACGTTATTTTTCGCAATCACTTAAATCACATTTATGTGATTTATACACCAGTTTACGTAACCGGTATTACAATTATCATTATGGGTAAGAATGTTGGATAATCACATATTTGAGAACTACTACCAAACATGCTAAGAAATATTAAATTAAATTAAATCATTCATAATTCATAAATTAAATCATTCATTCATACATTAAATTAGATCATTCATAATTTCAATAAGAAATTACAATATTGAATGAGAATTTAAATTATGCAAAAACTCATGGGGGACGAATTTTGAATTTCCTATCAAATCAGCTCAAAACACAAAAATACAATACATTAAATAACAACTACATCATTATATTAAACTAACAGACCGACCTTTTTAAAAGAAACCAAAACAATCCTATTTACAAATAGTTTCTAGATAACGCATTTCATCAAAATAATAAGGATTGATGTTGCTGATTATATAAGCTCAGATCTACACATGCATATACAGAGTGTTGAGCTTACTTCTCGCAGTCCATCGGCATTTCTTATCCGTCCAGCCAGGTTGAATTTCGGTTGCTAAGAAGTCATTTCAGCACCCAACACATCCAGTTCCTAAATTCAAACCCATTCCCGCTCCAATTCACTCTTAAACATATTCTTTCCTATTTAGATACCATTCTCTCAATTAGAGTGATGGAGTAATCGATATTCCTCCATCATCATACTAACCTTATTGAGAGTCGATGGAGTACTTAACATTCCGTCCGCTTACACCACACATTCATGGTAATAAGTACATTCACTCTCAACACACGTTAGGGACACAATAAAACAACCCTATTTCCTCCACCGGAACAGAGGACCCAAAAACACACCTTACATTTAGAAATAAAAGCTGTCTTGTAGAGTCCCAGAACCTACATATCCTGTGGTAAAAATGAACTGTAGAGCTTAAAATAAAGCAGAGGAAAAATGAAAAATAATTGTACAAGTGCTTTTTGCCTGTTTTTCCGTTGGTTGTGTAGATTGTGATTTTTGAATATAACCTACCTGGACCTGAATCTCCTATGATATGTGTAAGGTCTAGCTTTTGTAAGTTTAATACGAAACACGGAATAAGATGCAGTAAAGTTTTCAATATTGAATAATAGACCACTTAATCAATTTCGTTGGTTTTAGCAACTGCTTAACATTCTTTTTATATCTCTAGGTACTATATTAAATAAATAATGTATTGAATTTTTAGCACAAATACAGAAACGTAGCATTACATAGTACTGAAAGTGCCTAAGACATTAAATAATATAAGATTGTATAACTGTTCAAAGGTGAAAAAAAGGAAAGAGAAAATATAACGAAGATATTTATTTTTCTAAATTAATTAGTCCTGAATTGAACGAATTGCCTCAATAATTAACAATAAAAGTAAATTTTTCGTAAAAGACGGCTTAACGTACTAATAACAAGGGTACACGTCCACTACTTAACAATACATTTTCCAGGAATAGGACGGGATTCAAACTGATAACCACTATCTTGACTGAATAATCAATAATTATTATTGTTTTGATCAATACTATAGATTGCATTTTCAGTAGGCAACTATCAAATATTATTAAAATAAATTAATAATGAATAGGTTTATTCATACTTACAGCAACGTGAAGAAGTTTTTTGATCGCCTTGTTGGAACCGGTGCCACAATATGCCATCGCCAAGGTGTACATAGCGCTTCTTCTCAAGATTGGATCTTTGTCACTGATGAGAGTGGCGATAAGGCAGTCTGCCTCTTCCAAACGGCCGTACATAACCAGGGCGATGCCGACGGCCAAACCCCTCAAAATTTTCTCATGCTGTGTTTCCGTAGCGTACTGAAGACCAGAAAAAAATAATCATATTAGACACATCGGTATACATGGGTCAAATTAATATTTAAACAGGAGGCACTGTGATTTAGGCTTTGCGGGGATAACATGTGAGAACTCGCCCAGTTGTAGTGGATTTAGTTTGACGCATTTAGTATTCATGGGTGGAATTAGCCTTAGGGGCGAGGATGAGTGAAAACCCCGCTTTAATAAACCATATGGTGGGAAAAAAATACGATTCGGGGAGAAATGTAGAAAAGCTTTCAAAAGGTGCTAAAACTTTTTTTTTTCGTCACCTTTTAATAGGTTTTTATTTTCGAGGGAAAAGAACTGTTTGTGAGCAATCGGTGTATAAGCCGCCAGGAAACGAAAGGTTCTTGAAAATTACATTTGCGGTAGGGAGCGAATTGACAAGGAAATCCTTTTATCGCAGATGAATATTGTTTTTTGTTTTTGTTTTTTTGTACTTTATGGGTTGCCACTTTAAACTTTTCACTCTTCGTAAGCGTCCAAATTGTACAGTAGTAATTGACATACCAAGCTGACAATGTTAAAATATGTATACACGCTAAAAAAATTCAAATATTGATAGAAGAGAAAAAATTATGTCCATAGCTTTCAAACACCAAATAAACACCAAATTTTTGATTGCTCTCTAGTTGTAGAAATAATTTTTAATAATTATATAAATAATCGTGTGATATAATTAAAATTATGTTTAAAAATTAAAAAGTCAGAAATAGAAACTGTATAAATAATTAAATTCACTAATTTCGAGGTCCGCTTGACCAATTAATATATTACAATTAATTAAGGTTTTTAGTTGAGATAAACATGGCATTGAAAAATGGCAAAAAGGAGGGAAAATTCAAAAGGTGGGGCTGAGATAGGACGTTAGTGTCCGAGTAAGATCGAGGTCACGATAGCTCAAGTGGTAGAGCAGCGGCGTATCTAGCCGAAGATCGTGGGTTCGAATCCCGCTCGTGCCATTGACTTTTTTATCTCAACTAAAAACCTTAATTAATTGTAAAGTATAACTAATAATTAAAATACATTAACAAATGGTTACGATTTTTTATTGCAATGAAAGCAACTATCAATCTCCCACTTGAAAAAAATGGCACGAACACCATAGCATGCGAATGCGGAGACAAATACATCGATAGATAGGACGAAAAGTAAAACACAGATTTAAAAAAATCAAAAAGGGCAAAATATGAAAATACTCGAAAACTTGGTAATGAAAAACACAACACATTTAACAGTAAAAAAACTGATGAATACATACACAGTTCACATACGTATTTGTCACCGTACATTCAAACACTTTAAGAATTAAAAATACAAAAAATAGATAAAAAAGATAGACAAAGTCAGACAGAAACAATAAAAAACCCGACTTATCCCCACCCACCCGGACAATATAAAACAAAATTGATTTAAAATAACACACAGACGCACTGACGTTGGCGAGGAACGGAAATGCGTTTGACAGACCAACCCAGCGAAGATAGGCAGACGAGGATAAAATTGCAGGTTGATCACCCCGCAGACAATAAGAAAAAATCTACTTAATCGATAAAGGCGACAATTAGGCGTATAATCATTTGTTAAATTTAACATCAACCGTATTAAGCTAATTAATACTGTTTTTGACTGGTTTGGCTTTAATTAGAGCTATTATAATTTTATTATAGGAATATTAGACTTTTTTATTATAGGAATATTAGACTTTTTTATAATGCATTACAACCCCAGCATGAATTCAAATTTTTGTCACTTGTGTTATAATCCTTTTTTTTTTAAACAGAACTACATTTGGGCCGACCACATGCGTGGTTAGGGTACTATGTAGGTTTTTAAAGAGAGAAAAATAAACACTGTGTTGTATATGCTTGATACTACACTAGCCATAAAAATTGTTATAATAAAACTGTTCAAACATAGAAACCAAGATAGAAAAAGGTAAATTTAATATTAGATTTTTTTTTCAATTTGGTTTTTGTAAATTCGTTTAATAGGCGACCTGTTCGATTTGTTCACAGTATACAATTCGTTCATTTTAAGCAACATTTTTAAAAAAATCGCAATTCTTATTTTATTTATACAGCTTTTTAATGATAAATCTTATTTCTTATCCTCCTTCTCGGATATTCGTCAAAAATGCACTGAGAAATTACTCGAAAAGTAATAACAAACTTTTATGTAGGAAGTAGTCCAGCGACCCCTTAGCTGGATAGACTCGGCATACAGCAATATCCAACGTTAATCAAAAACTTTCACCTACCCACAGTCCTTTAAATTGGCGTGGAGGATCCCAATCCCACTGTCAAATTCGGCATCTTTAAATTTTCAGTTGCCTCTGTAACAATCTATCGGGTTGAGGTTACGCATTACTTAATATTTATTAGTGTTTGGGCTTAAAAACATCTTCATTTCGTTGTTATTGTTTACACTTTGAAATTCATTTTTATGGTCAGTTGTAATATCTGCCCACAGGATAATGTGCTAAAAAATTAGTTTGCTGCAAGAGATATTTCTCAGCAATATGAACACAACTGAGTTAAATCTACGTTAAAAACATAAAATAGTCTATCGCTCGAAAAACAGAGGAAATGAAGTTTAGAGAAACTTTGATACATTAACCTATCTAAACTTAAATACGAGATTAAACGACAGAAATGTATAATAGAGGTAATGCGCCAAGATAATTTTCGTTTTAATCCAAAATTAATGATCTAGGATGAAAAATGGCTTCAGAACAACAATACACTTCATGTGGAAATCCAAATAGACATCCATTAAACTTAATGAACCATATTTCAATGACTTAGAGCCGGAAGAATTCCTAGTACAATCGTTTTTTACGACCAGTTTCTTCGAGGACGAAACGGTCATTTCCATCAGATACTGTCCTGGGACTCGATGAATTAAATGAATGCCCAAGGAAAAGAGGTTTGCATTAGTGGAATATAAATGGTGTCGTTTTCCGCAAAGACAACGCTAAGACCTCATAACTCATTGGTGACGCTGGAAAAATTGTATTTGGGACGTGCTACCAACAACTAAGAGCGCCATCAGATTTTCTATTCCAGATTATAATTAATTAACGATTCGGTATACTTTAATGAATAACAAGGATAAAAGACTCTTCTTTATTCTAAAAGACTCCGATAAAAGATGGAATAAAGAAAATTATCAATAACTTAAAAGAACGAGGCAAAGGTTTTAAAACATAAACTGGCAATATAACAAATTCCAAACAATATGGGTGTTTTTTAACACACAATGGATCCAAATTAATATACTATAAAATTACACTTCAATAGTAGAATTATTATTCTATTCATTCAGCCTTCTAATGCTATAAAATACATTGTATTAACGATTTCATTTGTTTTTATTATATTACAATTTGTATTAGTATTTATGGTGAAAGTATGATAGGTAAAACGGCAACAAAACTGTATTAAAAGAAATAGCAAGAAGCGGCACAAATAAAATTGTGCCGTGACTATATAGGGAGCGAGCAGGCGGGCCTCTCCGACAAGCGTTCTTGAATACAGTAACAATTTTCTCATTTAATGTTGTTTTTAATTATATTACATATAGTTTTTTAGCCTGTCTAATGTTACATTTTTATAATAGTAAATATATGTACTTATTAACATGAATTTATAGTCCATAGCGGATATTAGTTACATACTTTGTAATAGAAGAGCGAATGATGAAAATATGTCCGAATTTAAGAATAAGCAGATATCAGGGGTAAATGGACTTAAGTTGACTGCCCTGACGCTTAAGTAATTTAGCTAAGTGGGACGTAAAAGACAGAGGTTTTTAACCTATTACTGTGGACAGGAGTATGTACAATATATGGTTTTTGCATATGTATTTAACAAGACGCATTCACGGACCAAGATACATAAAACTTAGAACGTTCGTATTAGAAGTGAAATACTTAAGGCAAAAATTGGACCAACCATGCCAAACACATTTTGTCAAAGAAAACAATGATAAAAAATCATTCTCGTTTATAATGGTTATTTTTAAAAGATTAAGTCTAACGTATTGTCAGTCGGCCGTAAAACTTTAAATCTTTTAAAATTTAACATTGCTTGAGGAGTTTCGCCAGTTTTAATTCAAAAATATTTACCTGAACAAAGCAAGATATTTGTTTTTCGTTACGAATAAATGAAACTCTCCCTTTATAAAACAAGCAAATTAATAATAAATAAAGCTCACTTGTAAGGAAACTTGTTAAAAACTCATTCTGACTTAATGAGAACCGCGTGTGTTTAGTACACGTCATGGCCGAAAGATAATTAAGAGATGAAACAGTGTGTAATCATTGCATTAGATGGCCTATAGGGCAGGGATAGGCTGTGATGATTTTTAATTAGGAAACTGAACACCCGAGTGGAGATCCGTTCCTTCTAATAATGTCAGTTAATTTGTTCAAACCTTCAACGTTCAGATTTTCTCGAACGATTTATAACGGTCAGTTGTTCGCTTTATTGGAAATGTGTTTCTTTCTGCCCGATTAGGTATGCGCACGTCAAGTATGCAAATGTTAACTAAAAATTCAGGCACACGTTTTCAATATCGTACAGTTGTTTTATGTTTATTTCGAGGATCTTGTCGCTTTTTGTTTAAAAGCATGTACCAATATTAACCAATATTAATAGAATAATGGGTTGAGATTCTGAGATGTTTTTCCCGAATATGACTTGGTTAGATAGTTGTGTAATGGTAAAAGTTGATTGATTATTGCAATGTATAATTTTTTGAAAATGTCGGAAATAAAATTTGTTGGTTAAATGATTATTAATAGGTCTAACACCACAGGTTTTGTTAAGTATCTTTTTGGTGCGGTTGAGTGTGTTGGGTTGAAGAGGGGAATGCGATTTTTATTTTAATGGAAAAAGAAGATCCGTTATGCCATATCTCGTTTCCTTGCCGAGAAGTCTTCTCCTTTTCCATAAAAATACCTATCGAAACGAATA